GGGGGGGTGTTTCTTCAAGTTCAACACAACCCCACACTCTCTCTCTCACACACACACACACACACACACACACACATACACACACCCATGTATACGTACACGCCCCTTCCAGGACAGATTGGGTAGATAAAGCGAGAAGCAACAACACTGGCCGCTCATTGTTCTTGCAGGGAGTTGTGCCGTCAGGAATGCAGCGATAGCCATCTCGCCTCGATTTCAGATATGTTGTGTTCTGGAGTATTATTGGAAGCAGATGTCTTATTTACGGGGGTGGGGGGTGGGAGGGGGGGGCTCGTCAGGGCCAATGTCCACATTTTACACATTTATGTTACAGTTACAGTTCAGACATGCAGCTCACCGCTCAACAGTTTTACAAGAAAGCAGCGTTTCCTGCAGCGGTGATTGTGTTTTTAGGCAGTTGTGGTCGTTTCTGGGAGCATTTCAAGTGTGAAATCATGTATTTGAGAGTCATAACTTTATGGATTAGTCTGAACTGCACCGGTTTTGCCAGTCCATTTTCACACAGAGGCATTTTTGTCCTCTTTTCGTGTGAAACCTGTGAAATCACACAGTTGGAGCCCGTCTTTACATTCATTTGAAGTATTTTTTTGTTTATGTTGAATCTAAATTCTACACAATTCATATCAGGCTTCTCTTACAGCCCAGGCTTAAGTTGTTCTGCCACTTTGGTTCATTTTTTGCGCAGTTATCTGAGCAGTCCTTGTTCGTTTTCATTTTTTTAAATCACATTTGCTGTTACTTCATCTAAACTGAGCATATTTTGAAGGGCGTCTACTGTTACAGCCCCAATATGAGTTGCTCTGCCTCCTAATGTTGGTCCTTTGAAAGAGCAGTTGGATGTTATATTTCAGATAAATGTAACATATTTCACAGTAGGCTTCACCTGCAGTCAAGCAGTTAACTTTAATCATACATAGAATCTTTACAACAACTTCCCATTCCTTTTGAATATTTTCACCAGACGTCTCGTTTATTTCATCTAAATTTAGTGTATTAGTTGTTATTTTTTTTTGAGAACAGGCAAAGTTAGATGGATTGTATTTATCGTTTTTCAAACAGTTAGCCAGCGAAGTTCTACATTTGATATTCACCCTGCAGGAGGTTTCCTAGAGAGATGTTGAGCAAAAGCAGCAACAAGAAAAGTTAGTCACTATGTCACCAACGTTAAAGCCAAGCAGGGAAGGAAACTGTGGGTTTTCATCTCTATGTGAAGTGTTTTTGCCTTGCCTTGCCTTTCACACTATTGTTGACATTCTGACTTCAGGACAGGCTGTGTATTTTGACCCTTGCAGGCACCAGTAATCGGGAGGTTAAAGGGTCAAAGCCTAGAAAGAATGTAGTCGTGCAGGTGCGCACACACAGAGTGAGAGTGAGCTTCACGTTTGGCCTGACCTGACCTGAAATCCCCAGTGGAGTCATCAGCACCAACATCTGAACCTGATTTAACTTGAGAAGCAGCAGACGTGCAGCTGCTCTGTGTGGGACCGACCTTTAACTGGAAGGTCACAGGTTCCATTCCCACAGCAGTGTCCTAGAGCAAGACTCTGAAACCTGACTGCTAGCTGCAGCTAACCATTATTATTGATTCCTGTGAATGTGCTGAAGACGTCAGTTCATTTCTCGGGTTTCGAAAGCAGGAAATAGTCAAAGAAAAGATGTCATCGCAAGTTTCCAGAGACTCGTCTGAGATGACGTCTTCAGATTGTTTATTTTGTCTGAGCAACAGTTCCAAACCCCAAAATATTAATGTACTATCATATAAGACCAGCTACATCACAAAGCCTTCACGTTTTAGAGGCTTGAACCAACAAGTTTTTTGGCGTTTAAAATTGTTTATTGATGGATATTCTGTGTGAGTCAACTCAGTGCTTCAGCTCCGTTGTTTAAATGATTGTATTAAATATCAGCAGGTGTCCAGGTCTTATCTCTAAACAGGAATGACTCCCTTTGCCCTCGAGCAAGGCAGTCAGTATGAGGGTTTTCATTTTTTTTATTCCAAACTCAAATGTTTTTCTTCATCTTATTAGTATGGATCCGTGTTGATCAGTGATGACCATGTGATATGGCTGAAAGTTCCAGGAAAAAAGGCCAGTAAATGGACCTTGACCTTGTGTCTTAATGTTCACTCTGAAAGGCAAAAAACATCTGCTAAATTGAAAAATGTGCTTGAGGACAGAGGAGAGCAATCACTCTGCTCTTCATCCTTTTTGCTTTATGTTGTAAAAGCAGTTTTCATTTCATTTCACAGAGTCGGTTTCAGGACAGTAGCTGGAGTGTTCTTTTGTCTTTCAACCACAGACTACGCTGTGTTGTATTTTGGGCGAGAAGGACAGAAATAAGAAACCTGACTGTGTTTTCTTCGAGTGGAAAGCAGAAGTGAAGACGACACGTGTCTCAGTTTTAAATTAAGAATCTGATAAGAATTGTCAAACAGCTCAGTCTGTTTCCTGGTGACTCGCCAGTAGTTGTCTGTGCTGATATGGAGTTAAATGAAAATGAATGAGTCGAAGTTGAAAACAATTCAAAACCATCTTTAAAAAATTGTCATTGACGAGGTGAAAATGCAAAAATAAGCCACAAACTCTAGTGTTGATCAGTTATTAGACTGTGTCAAACTCACCGTGAAGCTCAAGTGACCCAAAACCAACCAGGTCTCAGTGTGAACGAGCGGCATCAGCAAGGTCGGGTTTGAGGTGCACCACAGCTTCACAGCTTCTCCAGGAAGAAGAAAAGCCGCTCTGTGCAGTGAAGGTCTGGTTTGAGTTACAGATGAGAAGCCGCCGGGCTCACCGCCGGTCACCGGGGTTCACTTACAGATACAGACCTGCTTTCTGCTGCTGAGCCTCATCTGGCCCGACGGCGCTGACCCGCAGCCAAACAGCCTGAGCGGACAGGGTTTATTTACCACATTACACAAGTTAAAACAACACAATGTGCTGGGCTGAGGCAGATCTGGAAGCCAGTATCATTAGACTGGGATGGGTACCATTCAGAAACTGGTAGTGCCACTCTTATTGATAGTCTTCTATAATTTGATTAGGATTAACATGCATAATTAGGCCACCAGTATGCCCTATTAATTCATTAGATTATAGATTATTATATTAGATTATAGATGATTTATTGATTGATTTATTTATGTATTTAATGAACTAACAACCTTAATAGCAGGAGTTCATCTGTATTATAGCTGTGACCCATTCAGGAATCTGTACCACAGTAAGACCTTGGCTCTACCAGCAGCATTCAGCCCATCATAAACTCTACACTGAAACACACAGCTGCCTTTAAAATAACTGTATATGTATATTAATAATAAATGAATAGATAAAAAGAAAGAAAATTCAGCATTAGTTTTATTTCATCCCTGTGTAACAATCTTTGCCAATAGATCTTTGGAGTAAAGACCTTCACCTATAGTTCATTAAGTCTCTGAGGGATATTGCAGGTAAAAGAACTTCACCTTTTTACCTTTCACTTTCATGTTTTCTGTAAATAAACGTGTCCTTTCGAATGGTGTAAATCTTATTTTGGAAGGAAACTCTCTCGGGGACGCCTCGGTTGCTCACCTGATGGAGCGCGTATCACATAGGCTTTGTCCTGACCGCAGCAGCCACAGGTTGGAGTCCAACACATGGCCCTTTGCTGCATGTCATCCGCTCTCTCTCTCCCTGAATTCCCTGTCTCTCTCTCACTGTACTGTCTGAATGAAGGCAAAAATGCACCAAAATATAACTTTATAAAGAAAGGAAACTCCCTATTTACTGTCCCTCAGTAAATTTGTAAACTGAGCACAAACTATTTGGACAGTCCATCAGTCCTCACATCTCGGCCTCACGTAGATAAATGGTGATTTTGTGTCTCTCCTGCTGAAGCGTGCTGACAGAACAGAACTGAACACACAGGTGGTAAACAAGCCCAGGTGACATCAGGCTGCTCGCCTGGTTCCCATGGCAACAGTGGATGGGGTTTAGACGGCTTACTGCTCTGCCCCTGGAGAGTGGAGGTGGTCCGGGGCTCCGTTGTTTTCCACTCAGATAACCTTGGTAGTTACACTGATCACCTGCAGCTCTGTGCTGTCAGTGTCCATCCAGATGTAGAGAGGCAATGTCAATTAATGCAATTTCTATCCACTACTGTAATGTGAATAATATCAAATTAATCTGCCACATTTTTATTTACATATATTTATTTATACACAACTTTTACACCTCAACCAAACATAAAAACTTTTCTTTTTTTTTACGGCATTTCCAAATTTCTGGTGTTTATTGTAAGTGGGTCTTCATAAAATGAAACGGCAACTATTCTGGTAATTGTTTAACTCTTTAAATCATTTTTAAATCAGAAAAATCACTGAGTCCAGATTCTTAAATGTGAATATTCCTTGATTTTCCTTTTTTAAAATCATTATAAATGGAAGTCAAGCAGTGGTGAAGATGTCATCTTGGACTCTGGGAACTCGTGACGAGCCTTTTGACAAATGGTTGATCAGTTATTTGGGAGTTAGTCCCAGCTCTGTTTTGTATGTGTATTTGTATTTGTATATATATTTTGTATCTTAAATGTTTGGTTGTAGGAGCATGAAGAAGATAAAATGATGAATCCATATTTTTTGCGACTTTCCCGTTTTCCGTCACCTGCTGTGTGTTTTATCTGTGTGTTATCTCAGTTCATCCCAGCTGCTGGTGCACTGACGCACGCAGACGTCAGTATAAAGAACAGATTTAGCCTCGAGCTTGTTTGTTGTACTCATCATGACCTTCCTAAATCTCAAACCCGAGCGCTGATTTTTAAGGGAAACTGACCTTTTAAAAACATGAGTTCAGATTTGGAAAAAGTTCAGATTGGGGATGAGATTTTTAATCTGTACTTTTGTCCTCTTGTCTCCAATACATAAATACCTTTCCTATTTTGGGTGATATTTGATACGGGTTTGTCGCTGTGTTTTTAATGTCGTTGTCCTTCTGTATCCGCAGCCCCAAGCCTCCACCTCCCGATGGCGTCAAGTCCAACCCGTCCAAACGCCACCGTGACCGGCTCAACGGCGAGCTGGACAAGCTCACCAGCCTGCTGCCCTTCACCGAGGAGGTCAGGGCTCGGCTGGACAAGCTGTCCGTCCTCCGCCTCAGCGTCGGCTACCTGAAGGTCAAGAGCTTCTTCAACGGTGAGTGTCCAGACTTGATTACAGTAAGAGCCGCGACCTCGCGGTGTGCGAGTGGATGCTGCATCACTCATACGTATTTCCGCCGTTGAAGCCTTAATGACATGACTAGAGTGACAGGATGTTGTGAAAAGTCTTTTGCAGTAACATGAGTTGTTGTTTGTCGAGGCTGCAGCTTGTCAGACGATGTTATACATCTATAAACTAAGAGTGGAGTGATAGTGGATTGTGCTGCAGGAGGCTTTTATTTTGTAGTTTCAGTCAGCACCATCGGACCTGTAGCAATCACTGTGGGTCCTGCACGAACCGATCTTTGCAAAAACATAACTGAACCCAAATTATACAATTTATTAATCGCTTAATCTATCTATCCATCACCTTCATGCCTGTTCTAGTCCCTTTATTCTGCCAAAGTTATAATGTTTTATGAGAAGAATCTTTTAAACAATATAAAAACAGCTCAGTCGGTATGTTTCTAAGTTTAAAGAATAAGTGGGAAATGTATTACAGTCTTAAACAGGAACATCTGTGTGCCTTATGCTGCTGCGGCCTGTTGAAGTGATGATACTGGGTCTGACAGAGACACGTATTTAATGAGCGTGGTTCACTTTTAGGCTGCGAGTTAGTAACTGTGCTGTTCAGGAGATGAGGTGCGAGGATCGGTCTGAACCGTCCTCCAGAGGTGACGGTGATTTATTCATCATACGCTACGTTTGCATCCCGTTCGTATTAAAAACGGCACGGCATGAGAATATCGTAGGCAGCTCCTGTGTGTGCTGAAGACGCTACTCCTTTGTGGGCGTTTCCCACCTCTGCTCGTTTCCTGTGAGAAACCCAGTACATGGAAACTCCACAAGAATACACTCAACCAAGCAAACACACTGCAGGTTAGTGAAAACAGTTTATCTGAAACTTTTTCCCCATTGACTGCACTCAAACAAGTCAGCGGAGCAGCACTGCCACAAACATAACAGCGTCAAACATCCTGCATGTTTTCATACTCCATTACACTGTGCATAACTCATTCAAACAGTTAAAGGGCAAATGTCTAGACTGCAATCAAATTCTAACATTCAAACCCGCGCACATATTTTCATACACACGGACAAGCTGGTCCCCAGTGTAGCAGAATAAAACTCCAGCACCAAACATAATGTATGAAATACTGTATTTTCAGCTCTGAATAATGCGGAAGGAAGTAGAACTGGTGCTTTTCAAGTAACATTTGGATCTCATTTGAATCACCAGGCAAAGCTTGCATGGTTAACAGGAATCCCAGCCTCCTGTTTGCTTTCCAAATGATACTGTAAATCTCTCGCGATGACAAGAGAAGCACACGAAAAAGAAATAAACGCGGTGCGGAGGATATCGTTGGAAGATTGTTCTGCAAGAATGAGGCTGTTTAACTTCCTTTAAAAGACAAATCTCTCCACTGGGAATCAGATTATTTATTTAAAAAAAAAAAAGGAGTGAATTCTGCCCTATTTCTGTCTACGTGGTGCGGGGAGGCTCGGGGAGGTTATTCCAGTTTCCATCGAGCTTCCTCACATTGTTTTGCGACCTCTTTTGAAAATAGCAGCAATTAGATCCAGACAGCCTGAAAGATGAGGTTCCTATTTACAGTAAATGGCCGTGTGTGTGTGTGTGTGTGCGTGCATGCGTGTGTGTGTGTGTGTGTGTGTGTGTGTGACCAGCTGAGAGGTTATATCAGTGCAGGACTGTGAAATTTGGCCCTTGTGGCCCACCATATATTTGGAGACAAGCTCCTCAGCAACAGGAGGTGTGAAGTGGAACAAAAAGAGGCGAGCATTTCTCCGTGAATGTTGTCAGGGAGATGATCTGTACACACACGCCGTCTGTGTGTGTGTGTATGTGTGTGTGTGTGTGTGTGTGTGTGTGTGTGTGTGTGTGTGTTATTGCACACCTGTTCTGTGCTGTAGGTTAAAATGCTAATACACACATGTATGTTCATATGATTTGACTCGGTTTGGTGTGACATTGTTTTTCGTTTGCTGCTTGGTGGCAAATATCATTACTGAGAGAAAAATACTCAGCTGATTGAAGTCAACAAACAAACTGAGTGAGTGTTGGTGCAGCCACTGTAGGTGTGGACTGTTTATTTTTGTCTGATTCTGTGTTATATTTAATTGCAAATGGACGTCTGAATGGAGCTGACAAGAAGAATTATAACTTTTCAAAGCTTTTATTCTGAAAAAACAGCTTCCTGCTGGGACCGAAAACCACGAGAAACAGAACAGCTGCACTATGGTGAGCTGAAACTCACTGTCATGCTGAGAGGAGCTGCAGATACAGCTGATAAATCTCTGCAGTTTCAGCAGGGCCGTCGTTTTTCATAGTCGTTTGATTTGTTGTAAAAATATCAATAATAGCCGCTGTAACAACACGCTAACAGAAAAGTAGTTACTAAACGTTTATATAACCAAATGGATTTCAAATTTTGTTCTGAACAAGAATAGATATTTACTGCTGTATTAGTTGATAAAAGCAAAGTTTTATTAAGCAATAAAACTAATAAAAAGCTGAAAGTCAACTTCAGCTGTAGTTGACACGAACAGTAAATTCTCCAGACGTAATCAGAGCACAGAGTCGACAGAACCGTCCAGTACGGAGGTGATATATCACCACACACTGGAATAATAAAACCACGGCAGCGTTCACTTTTATCGGCTTCAGAATGAGACTTGAGTTCAGGCTGGAAAGAGTAATCAATGACTCACTGGCAATGACTAACAACCCTATCAACCCCCTGCAGGCATGTTATGGTCAATTTGATCTGAGGGAGTAAAAAAATGACTTATTGCCTCTTTGATGTGTGTGTGTGCATCTGCAGAAACACAGTGTTCATAACCGTTGATCAAAACAAAGGAGGTTTTTCAGTCCAACAGCATGTACCTGTTGCCAGAGGAAACAGACATCAGAGCCTGTTGCTTGGGATTCATCAATTATTTGGCAGCGTCGGCCACTTAGTGTCGGCTGAACAAATACGTTTGGAGTCGGCGGTGGGAGTCTGGTTACTCTCATACTGCTCCGTCAGCGCGAGGCGAGGTGGTGGGCTCTGGGCTTTTATTTTGAAGGGAGCTCAGAAGGGAAAATATCTGATATTTTCTGCTTAATCGAGAAAATAATCAACATGTTTAGTGATGATTAAATGATCAGAGATTTGGACCGGGATTCAAAGGTCTGCTGTGGCCCAGATAATACAAACCACAGTTATCTAATATGCGCTTATCTGGTATCGTCCATGTATGTTGACCTACAACTCCCTGATAATGTACAAATGACTCAGATTGTCATTCATCTTCTGACTGATTTGAGTGTTTGTATTTTCTAACAGCCTCCAGTAGCTGCTAATTTTCCTTTTCAACACACCACAGATTATTTCTTGCAGTCATAAGAGGTCGACAGGGTGAGAACAGATTCGACAGAAGAGGAGAGGAGCTGGTGTCACTGATTGGTCACTCAGGAGGTGGAGCGGGTCGGAGGGTCGGTGGTTCGATCCCCGCCCCCTCCAGTCTGTGTTTTGAAGTACTGTAAAGGTATATGATAGCAGGCCATGTTGTAAAACCTGATGCACTACATGTAGTTTTCATAATAGCTATTGCACACACACACACACACAAACAACCCCCCCCCCCCCCCACGACCTCCCATCTTGACCTCCACCCACTTCTTGGCCACTGAGCCGTCACTCTCCCTCTCACTGAGCCCCACCCGTTTCCTGTGGCGGCCCCTGCAGCACCCCGGGGCCCCTTTTCCTTCGACTGTTCGGCCTTTTCCTCCTCGGCTTGTCCCCCCGCCACCTCCAGCCCCCCTCCTCCACCTCAAACAAACGCTGCAGGACTCCAGTGTGTTGTTACAGCAGGGAGGCATGTTTGCACGGCAGGTCTGCACCGGGACAACTCACGGCTTTATGCATTCATGAAACCCCCAGTTCAACTTCTTCTTCTCTCCTTCAAAGGTTTTCTTTAAAGTCGGCTTTCAGTGCATGTATCATACTTCATTTGAAGTGCATTGTGACGCATGTGATTTTCCACATTTGAGGCTTTTTAAGGATTAAACCGTCCTCATTACTGTTGCTCTTGAGGTTTGGTGTAATGACAGGTTTGTTTGTCCACCTTTAGATGAATCCACAGATCATAATGATCTCAATCTGCTTTACCCAAACCAGGAGTCCCTTCATTCCCAGCTATCTTTTCATCATTCCTGTCCATCATTTCTAGTTTTATATAATGTGCGGTGGCTGCGTTGTGAAGTCATTTTCATGCGTCCGCGCGTTATGTTTTCTGGTCGTCCGTCCCATTCTCGTGAACGTGATATCTCAGGAACGCCTTGTATGAAGCATGAAATGATAGGTCGTTCATAATGTGAATTATTTTCTGTTTGGATAAGACAATCAAGGTGAACTACCTACTTCTCCAGGGTATACTCTGCCTTTCAGCTCGTTTGTGCGGGTCCCAGCCGATAATCAATGGTTATCATTATAATAATAAGGATTCTCTGTCCTTTATTTCTCTCTTTGTGTATCTTTCTTTCATTGCTTCACTCTAATTGTGATAATAGACTTTATTTATTTTAAAACTTGAATAATAAAAGTGTATAAAGAACTTTAACGGTCATATAAAATCAGACATCAAAGTCAGGAAATTATTAAACGAGTGGCGACCACTACAAGATAAAAGGACAAGGACAGAAGGGGAAACAATAAAAACATACATCATGTAAAAGCGAGTCCATAAAATTGAGTTTACAAGGTGATCTTAAATACTGATCCTGATACAATACAGCTGCTCAAGTCAAGATTTTTATGTTGAATTGAGGCCGTCTTCTCAACCTAAAGTGTGTGTGTCCCAATCCTGGAGACTGAGACGCACATTTTCCTGTTTGCTGGTAAGAGATTTTCTCCACAAACGATGTTACTGATCCAGACTGGAGAGTCACAACCCAAACAGCAGCAACTGAGGGATCTCAACTGGTTCACCACA